ACCTGCTGCTGCTTCAATGTGCCGCTGGAAGTGGTGCTGACCAGCAGTGGGGGGTGAGGAAAGAGCCAGATTGTCTTTTTTCCCCTGTTGTGAAGAAGTCCCAGGTTTGGGAGGAAGAGAAACTCAAAGGCAGAAGAAACAGAGGCATTTTGAGTTTGAGGGGTGCTGAGGCCTGGGTGGCACTGAGCTGAAGAGTGCCTGACTCAGACCTTTTTAGGCTTTTCTAGAAACTAAGTAAGCTACGTCGTTGAAAGTTGTGCTTCTCCAATAAGTGTAGCACAGGGCTGCATTTGTTATTGTTTGAAGGTTGTGACTGTTTATATCTTGTAAAGCATAATAAAAAATGAATTAGAAAAACTAAATTATGAAAACAGACACAATTGAGTACAAACCCACTTTGTTTTCTATTATTAGATTCAAAAGACACACAATTTACTTTGTGAAATTGCTTTTTAAAAAATAAAAAGGGTTTCTAAGTGCTTGCGTTTAATTTCTGAAGTCAGCTGGTCATGGACTTCTCGCAGACCCAGAACAAACACGGGCTCAGGGCTCACGGTGGGTCTCAGGCGCGTGCGTCGCACTGACGGAGCAGTCAGACTCCAGGCAGGGCGTCCCAGGGCGCTGGGTCCCCGGGCTCTTCCCAGGGCACCCAGCCGACGCGTGGCCCCTGCTGGACCCTCAGTGAGTCAACGCTTGTTAAACAGTCCTTTTCAGAGATGAGTGTTGTAGGCAGAAGAAAATTCAATTAGGATGACAGCAAGCGTTCCAAAAATAACTACAGTTTGTTCACCTGGTGGGAGGCAGCATTCCAAAGCAAAGTGGGCTATACCTTGTTTTGCAGTTTTCAAAAATCACATCTTTGTAGATTAAAAAAACCAACAAACTTAGCTTCCAGAAAGCCCCAGGTTGTTCCCGAGCTGTGTATGCCTCACACCAGCTGCCGTCTTTTGGCTGCAGGTGGTGTCGGCCGCGAAGGTGTGTGACACTGCAGACGAGTCCCCGTCGGTGAAGAGGCTCCGCCTTCTTGTGGCGGATAAAGGCTTCTCCTTCAAAGCTGGCCAGTGGTAAGTGGCCTCTCTGTGGCCCAGGGGTGGTGTCTGTGCACGGTGCTGTCTTTTCTGGAGAGAACTTCAGTGGCCCCTGCTTCTTCTGAGGAGTAGGGATGCTAGGAGTCCTAGGCTGCGTCCGTCCAGGCTGAGCCTGTTTCGGCATGGAGTCGGGCTCCTTTCCAGCCTCAGAGCTCATTTTGAGTTTAAGCTCGTCACCCTCTCTGTTCCAGATGAAAACTGCTGCCTGGAGTTTTCCGGCTGGAAACACAGCAGCAAGTTCTGGTTGGAGGACCCACCAGCTCTGGTAATCACGGTCTGGGGGATGGTTGCTAATAGAATGCACCGCAGTCACCTACCTACCTGCTTCCGTTACGTGTGGCTGGTGGCAGCCACTTGAGGGTCATGAGTTGTTACATTTGGGCCAGAAAGAGGACTATAGACCAGGAGACAGCATCTCAGACAGCTCCTAGGAGCTGCTCTGAAGAGGCAGGGGTGCGGGGAGGTCAGTGTTGCATATGATTTCAGTGAGTGGGGGTGGTACGTGCAGTCAGGCACACATTTTGGCAGAGGCTTGCTGTTAGGCACAAGGAGCAGATGTCACTGTTAATAATATTAGTGCTTTTCAAAATAAGAGGAGATGAAAGAATTTGGGCTCGTAAAGTCATCTCCTGAGAATATCTAACTCTCTGAAGGCCTGTTCGGCCAGTTTCCCAGAGCCCAGAGCGGCTTATTCCTGATTCCTGAAGGTCAGCCCTGCAGCGGTAGACGGCCAGGGCCAGTGTGACTCAGTCTTTGTGGAGGCAGATGGCCTGGGCCAGTTTTCATTTGGCGCCGGAGATTGTTACATTTTTAAAAATTGTCGTCCTTTTGCCGAATACAGAGTGAACTCGTCTGAAAGTGGTGGTTCTAATCAGTTATACCGCAGAGCTGCCCACCCTTGGACTGAATTCCTGCTTCACTCATGCCTTGTATGGGTTGAGTTCAGACATTTTGCTGGATTTATTATCAGGATCCCCCGTCAGGCCCAGCGCACATCATGCCTCTGAGGACTGGTCAGTTTGCAGACAAGCTAGTGGCCCAGCAGTCCCCACATTCCTGCGAACGGCCTCACTGAGCTGCAATTCAAGTTGGGTTGTAAATAAAGCAACTTGTGTTTCCTTAGGAAAGGTGTGTTTGGGTGTCTGTTTCCTTTGTTTAAATCAAGCACTCACGTCTAAGTGAATTTCTGGCATGTCAGTCTTGGTAGCATTTCTTAGGAGTCAGTTGGCTAATTTTGGCAGTCCATCTGGAAGTGTGGTTTTGTTCAGGGAGGATGTGTGATAATAGCACGTGTGATAATAGCAAGACGTAGCAGTCTTGTGTTGATGGTTTGCCTTTGAATGTACAGCTAGAAACAAGATGCTGATTGCAATAATTTGCGTCTGTGAAGCAATTTACTGCAATCTTTGCACGTTCCGTGATACATATTAAGTGCATTTGGGCTGTTTCGGGGGGGTGGGCAACATCTTTACCCTTCAAAACTAGTTATTACATTGAAAGGTGCAAACTTTAATTGGAATGCTGTCTTTCCATATATCCCCCGTGTGGAAGTGTCTGTGTCCTGTGCGTGGCACTGTCCCCGGGCCTTCCACTCGGAATTGTGCCAAGACTCTGACCCGGCCTCCTGGTTAGAAACAGCCTGGGCTGTGTTTATCCTGCCGCTCTACGCTGTGTGTGTGAATGTGTTAGCACTTGCAAACCGTAGTTATCTGATAAGAAACATGTCATCACACCCCAGTGATAGACAAAGAACTAGGGTCCCATGGTGGTCCTCAAGATAACATCACTCAGGGTGGGTGTTACGCACCCAGCGTCAGTGGATGGGTTTGGGAACGTCACTGACACAGGGACTGGTTTCAGTGCACGCCCGACGGAGGGTGGACGTCAGGGGTGGTCAGCGCGGGCCCTTTCCCTGCCGGGTGTTGTCAGCACTCACTCCTGGCACCCGGACCCTCCCCTTTAGAAGGTTCCTTCCCTTCCCCTGACTTACAGCTCTGGAAGCTATGGGTTCTTCCGGGTGTGTGACTTCACGGTTACAGAATGGCCCTGAGGTTGGCAGCTTGGCTCCTTCCGCGCCGTCGCTGGGATGGCCCGTGCACTGGGCTCCTAGATCGTCAGCTCAGCAGTGACCTCCAGGTGGCATCTGGGGGAGGGGCTGGGGAGAGGGAGCGTGGACGTGGGTGCCGTGCAGTCATGTGCTCAGGGTGTCATGGTGGGATGCTGCTGGATGTTGGGGCTATGGACCTGCCCCTCAGTGAGTGAGGCAACCTCCGGAGCTCTGGCCTGACCCCCAGCGGACACCTTCACCGTGGACCAGAGGTCAGCCCCTGGGGCTCTTCCCGCTGTGTTGTGTTCTTCCTGGGCCCTCCAGAGGGAACTGGTCCCTGTGCTGGGAAGGCAGTTCTGAGGACTCAAGCAGTCCAGTCCAGAGAGAAAGGCCCAAAGAGAGAACTCCCTCGGAACCACTTCTCACAATAATAGAGCGAAACCTGGGCTCCTCTAACCCGCAGGCACCGCCTAGTGCCCGGCTCCTTGTGAGTCCCGCTCTTGACCTGCGCAGGATTTCTCCTCCCCGAGGGTGGGAATTCCGGGGCTCCCTCCCGGGCCTGGAGCGTGCCACCAGAAGTCCTCACGCAGCACTGGGGCGCAGAGTCCGGGTTCAGCACTCTTGGAGCAGGTCCGTCCCCGGGGGAGCTGTATCACAGCATCACACGCCCCATGCTCCGGAGCCTGCCCGCCCGTGTGCTCGCCTTCCCACCCACTGGCTCTGACGTGGGCAACTTCCTTCTTTCCCTGGGCCGCAGGTCCCCTGTCCTTAAAGAGGGAATCGTGGTGTTTCTGTGTCTTGGGATTTGTCAGGCATTTAGCACAAAGCCTCATGTTTGCTTTGTTGGTTGGTTTTTGGTTTTTGTGATAGCCAGTGTTTCAGTCGGTCAGTTAGATCATCTGTGCTGGTGAGGCCCACGGGGTAGATGTCATTCTTAGTTCCTGGGGCGTTCCCTGCAGTGAAGCTGCTGCTGGAAGAGCAGCGGGCCTGCTAGGAGTGGGCGCAGGCACGTCTCCACTGCGGTGACGCCTCTTGTGCGGTCAGTACTCAACGCCAGCCTTGGGCTGCGCACAGGTCACCCACCACCCTGGGGAGCAAGGCCAAAAAAAAGCCTTTTTGAAGAGAGACAGTGTGTCTCTGACTTTGTACAAGGTAACACAAGATTTTATGCTTGAAAGTGACTGAGCTTGACTAGAGGAGGGAGAAAGGTGATTCGATTAGAGGAGCAAGATGGAAGAAATAAGACCCTTCCCCTCCCCTCTAGCGGTGTAGACAGTGTACAGTGAACACGCCGCGTTCTGTAGCCTGACTTACACACCCACACAGAGAGGGTGCTGGGCTCCTTGACTGCATCCTTGTTCAGGCTGTGTCCTCCTCTGTTGCTTGTCTGATGAGTGCTGTGTCTTTTTAGACCCCTCTGTGAAGTCTATCTTAATTCCTCCCCCCTTAGAGAATGGACTAGTTCTTCCTCTCCTCCCTCCCTGCATCCCACCCCCCAAGCAGCTTTTCTTTCTTTCTTTTTTTTATAAAGCAGTGGCTTTATTAGTATTTTCCTGATAAAATCAAGATCACGTATGTTGGAGCCAAGAAGAAGTCTGTACGAAGTACAGGTACCTCCAGACAGCCCCCCAGTGATGAGCATTCTCTCTCTCCTAAGCAGATTTTTTCATAGCCCCTTTAGTTGTATTTGTCAATTTTCCTCCCATTAGGAGGGAACGGGAACCAACACATACCTGCAGCTTTACCTTCCAACACCAGCCCCGGTGCCTGTACGTGGTGGGCAGATGTTGCCTGGCGTGTTCTCCAAGTACGGTCGCTGACAGCTAACAAGTCTTGGGATTTCCTGATGAACGTCGTCCCTCAGCCGTGGTTTGTGTGCTGCTCCGTGCTGGGCCCTGGGGCTGCCTCCCGCGCAGGACCCGGCTGCCTGGTGTGTCACACTGGATGTGGACCTGTGTGTGTGCGGGCCTCGCTGCAGAATCAGGCCCCCTCTCTGTTCTTCAAACACTCCCTCACCTGGGTGGGTAGTAGGGGCCTCAGTTCTTGGCTCCAAAAGTGCTGATCCTGCAAAGGCCATTTTTAAAGAAGTGTGTGTGTGTGTTTGTCTGTTTGAAACTTAATTCTTCCTTGGAAAGGTATCTTATTAAATATGTGTTATGTATATTAAGTCCAGTCAGGTGAGATTTTTCTGTAGCATTTAACAAAGGAGTCCTTTTTCTTAAAAGTAGGTTTCCAAAGTTGCTTGGAAAGAGGGATTCTCTTTCACTCACCTGACAGAAAGGCCTTTGTCAGCATCAAGCAGCAGAGGGTGCTGTAGTTCAAGACATAAAGCAGCAGAAGTAGCTCGTGGGTTTCTTTACTTTTAACACAGAAGCTGTGGGGATGCCATGTACCTCTTCTCTGAAAGCACAGAGAAGCTGTGCTAGTACATGTTAAATGTAGTCTTTTAAATTGTATCTGGTCTGAAATGAAAGGGAAATTAAGATATTCATGGGAAAGAATCGAGGGAACAGAGGCAGAAGTAGCCGTGGGCCCTTTTCTGGAGGACTTCAGTCCAGAACTGGTTTTTTTAAGACTATAAAAAATGACCAGATGACTGAAGGCAATAGATCAAGTCAGTAGAGAACGTCAAGTGCTTTTCGAGTACACTTGCTAGAGGGAAGGCTACCTGGGAGGATGATGCTTTTTGTTCTTTGATGGCTGAGAAACAGCTAGATCGGATGTTTGAGTTTCCTAGACATGGAGATGAGAATTTTTTGTGGTCCCAGATTTCCTTGGTTTGTGACTAGATTTGTTACATTTCCTAGAACTCCCCACCAAAAAAAAACAACAACAACTTATGTGGCATAGAATTATTGAAGGCTTGAAACTCACAAGAGCTCTGGACCACAGGAGAGTGGTTACAAGAGAAGGAGACGTAAGACTTTAG